AAGTAATTGACGTGTTTGGTAAAATGTGGCTTATAAATACATTTTATTATAAAATTACTAAAAAATGTACTACATTAAACAATGTCATACTATGGAATTTAAAATTAAATAAGGATAATATGGTAATACTACTTGGTCGAACTAGCTTATAAGCAAAGTGCTTATAAGCCAAAAAAAAAAGTACCTCCCCCCAACTTATTTTTTTTAGCTTATAAGCTCAACTTTAAGCTCAAAAAATTATAAACAAACAGGTCGCTTAATTTTACAGCTTATAAGTAAGTTTGATCAGCTTAAAGCTTAGACAAACACCTCTTAAATCAAACATAGGGGTTTTGTTTTTACGCTTTAATTATGATCGTTAACGACTTAACGTTTTAAAGTCTTCTATATTAAGGAACAAAAGGGTTAAAGTAACACGTTGCAAATGGAGAGGCACGCAGGGAGAGCGATGTGAGGAGCACGAGGCTAAAATACAGTGGCTACGCACTCACCTTTAAAACGCCTCGAATTTCAAACGCTGAAAAGGATAAGCCCACTCTACGCCTATCCCTACACCCGCCTGTAGCCATAACATTTTAGTGGGTTCCACATAAATTTAATATTATATTTTATTTATGACCAATCGTATGCTATACATTCAACATGAATGTATCCTACATCATTACCATGCATGGTGATATTACTAATACGACACCGTACTTACGGAGTATGATAAACGTGTACTGCCCAACTGGGGCCTCGCGTAAAGCATAACTGTACCTTTTTTGATTGGTCAGAAGTGCTGAGGCTTTCGGGAAAATTTTGTTAGGATTTTTTTTTTCTTTTTCAGTGATCCCAAAATGCCCTTTGATATTTGTGTAAGCTAGGAGCTACTCTATCTCTATGCTGTTAAAAAAATAAATTTCATATTAAATGGATAAATAATTTTGAAAAATAATTAAAAATTTGAGATAAGTTGAAATATTGCGAGGGCAGTGCCCGATGCAAAGGAAAAGAGACAAAACCGTAAACCAACGTCACATCAGTAGACAGTATCAGCATCGGCTGAGGCCTGAGGGTGAGTGTGAGGTGACGCAGAGGCAGAGGGTAGGCCTGAGCGAATCAAATAATGCAGTGGTTGAATGTGATAGTGACGGGGTGCGAGAAGTAAAAAAAGGAAAGAGGCATTACGGTTCACCCACCGCAGAGTCTTGAGTGAAATAAATATTGATATCATATTAAATTTTACTGTTAAGATGGGCGTGCTCTGGTAGGGAGATTCTTGTGGGCCTTCCCCAGATCTGTACCAACACCAATACGATTACCCCCTCTGTCTCTGTGGTCCTCTTTTATTGTCACATCTGTCTTTTTTTTTTAATCTCAATTTTATATCTGATTTTTGTGATTATCAAAATTCAAAGAATGATATTTATTCTTAGTTTGATTTTTTTTTTTTTAAATTAGGAAATATCTAGGTGTTAAATTTAGGTAAATTTAAAATAAAAAAATATTTTAATACATATAATAAACTCATATTCTATTACTAACTTAAAATTTGTTTATTTTCAAAATATTTATTATTGCATAAACTTCAAAATTGTAACTCTTATTAATATAATAATTTTATACAATATACTATAGGTAATGTCGTTGTAACATAAACAGTCATAATAATTAAAATAAAAATAAAAATCTTATATATATATTTAAAAGAAAATTTAACATGTAAGCCAAACGAAAGGACTGATCAAACAATGTTTAATAATGAGTGGTCAAAACAGTCTTATAACTAAATTTAACAGTATAATTATATTTTTACAAAAGAGTAAACTGTTATATTCCCACCCAAGGTTTGACCCAATACCAAATTGTATGCTGTTTTATTTATTATAGATTCTTCCTCTTAAAATAATACTGTTTACAATTTTTAGGTTACAGAGAATACAATTATCATAATACCTTTAACAAATAAATTAATAAATTATTTTTAACCCCTAAATTACTAAAATTATATTAACTATCTTATTTTCAAATTACTTTAATAACACCCTCAGTGACTACGCACCCTCTTGGTTTTTGCTGGGATCTAAGCTATTTTCGATAGCGTTGAACCCCCTAGTCATCTCCATCACCTTCCCCATCGTTTGTCATCCAAAACCCCTCTGGTTCCCAACTCATTGGCCCCTTCGATCGCCGACGTCATAAGGCTTAGGGTTTCGCTATTTTTCGTTGGATTCCAATCAATTTCGGCGATGAAAATCCAATTGGACATCACTATTGCAACCAACATCTCCAACTTTACTAAACCCTTATGTCCCCAACAACCGTTTAGTCATCGTTCGTCGGTCGAGATTGACAAAAACCAGTCACATGTAGCGGCTGTCGTGGCTAGCAATCGGCGAGTGATAAGGGGTTGTAAAAGGTAAGGTTTTGTAGATGAGAGGATGAGGGTTCGAATGGTGGTAACAAAAGTGATTTTAGGTGGAAGAATCGCCAAAAAAGGGCAAAAAAAGTCGAGGCCAACATCAGCTATCATGCGTCAGAGCATCGTTAGGAGCGACGATCTGCTAATTTGTGTCTCCTTCTAAAAATGACTAATTCACTCCTTAACCGTTATGTCCAATAATTTTTCGTCACTTTAAGGGTGAGAATTAAAATAAATTAAACCAAGGGTACCAACTTAAATTTCATTAAACATCGGGTGGGAATATGTTGTTTACTCTAAAAAAAAAACACACACACACAAAATACAAAACAAAGATATAAAATTAATATATAAAATAGATTTAGATATAAAGTCTCTTTAATAATAAATAAGCATTCCGAATCGGACGGCTAGCAAATAGGGTTTAGTATAACAATCAGGAAACGGGTCACAGAAAAACTTTTCTCATCTGAGCGTAGTGTGGTCCAGGATTGTAGTTCCGACACTGCCACGTGGTACGGTTGATGCCGTGGATTAACTGACGAGGGATGCTGTCACCTGCGGTCACATTTGTCTGAGAAATCGTCAGTTGACGTGTCCCCTGATGTTTTTAACTCGTGAGAGTTCCAGGATGTTATCTCATTCTCCCCTTTGCTTTCTATTTTTGGACGAATTTTCAGACGGATTTTAGTTTTTAATTTTCATGCCTTATGTACTAAAATTAAATTTGACATGACCCCTTTTCACATCACAATCAAAATTAAAATAAACACTTTCAATTACCATATATATAAAAGAGTGATATTGACATTTCATTTTCAGCTTAATATATTATTTTAATAAAGATGGGATTGCGACTCAATTTTACAAACTCTCTTACCGCTCACAACTATTATAAATCGATTACAACTATTATAAATCGATTAATTAGGAGTTATTACATTGAAATGTTGAAAAAAACTTTATAAAATTAAACTATAAATATAGTATTGCCTATATTATTTAACACTTCAATTATTCATTTATACATTAAAATGGAACAACGAAATATACCACTTAAGATGAAAATTTGAAATATTATTTTAAAAAATTAGCACTATTATATAGATATATTTATCTGAGTTTATTTTATTCACCAATTTCATCTTGGCATACCCAAGATTTAAAAAATAATAAAAATCCTTACAATTATTGAAAACTCTTATAAAAAAAGAATTTTTTTTTGATACTGTAAAATCTCTCTATAATCATAATAGTGTGATTAACTAATTTTATTACTATGAAGAGGTTACAACTTAATAGAAATGTAGTTACAAAAACTTCTTATTTCATAATTCATGTTTTAGTAGTACAATATTAGCATTTCAATTCATGTTTTAATAGTATTATAATTTCAATTTAATGCTTCAATTGCCTACTTTTGAAAATGATAGAAGATTGTGTCTTGAAACCAATAAAGATAATTGTCCTTGATAGAATTGTAAATGCGGTTGATGTATGATCAATTGATGTGAAACTACAGACAATTGCCAATTGTTTTAAGCATTATAAAATTAGGATCCTCGATGTTAAGGAATTGCAAGCTACAATTGAAGTTGATGAGGAGAATTAAAGAGTCATTATAGAATTGAGTGATCAAATTCAACAACTTCACTACATTAATCAAATAGATATTAATGTCTTCCTTAATCATCTAATTGAGCAACAAGTCATGTATGCTTTAACAGAAGAATAAATCATTGTTCCAAATAGACAAGAAGAGAAATGAAATAATTATGAGGATGATAGTATAGAAATAAAAAAAATTTCGTACCAAAAAGCTTTAAACATGCTTGAGAAGCTATAAATGTTTTGGCTTCAACAAGAAAATGTCCATATTAGCGAGTAATGTACTTGTAAATTAAAAGATATGGTAACCACTCTAAACATAAATTATTGTCTCAAACAACTTTAAATAAATATTTTTATTTCATCTTAAACATTTAATGTAACATAACGTATTTTTTTTTTTATTATATACATATAATTATTATTATGAATGTAATTTTCCTTAAGACGAAAATAAAAAAAATTTATAACTTATTTATAATTATCTCAAATTGAGAATATAATTTTTTATGACTATATAGAGTTTATTTCTACATAAAATATCATACTGAAACTTTAGAGATATAATAATTATAAGAGGGTTTTTGATACTTTTCGTAAAGCTTGGATATGTTTGATATAAAACAATCCCACAAGAGGTATATAAATAGTCCATTATTTTATCATGCAAACACTTCAATTTAAAAATGAAAAATGTGTAATAATAAAAAGCTAACAAGATTTGGCAAGGAAAGAAAAACGAAATATTGAGAACCCCACTTTGAAAAAACTCCAAATTAGGTAAGAAACCTGATTATTAACTTGACGAATATAGCATAATTTTCTTGTCCTTTTTCTTACCAACCAAACAGCACAACTACCAAATCATTAAACACATGAATGGTTTACAATAATTCGAATTAGACAATTTAACATGAGAATAACCTAAGAAATGCCTATTCTGTCGAGATTTCAATCAATCTGCTTAAGCTTTTAGGTCAAGCCGGCATAAACCAAAACACAATAATAAGATTAGGTTGCAAACATGAGACATGTAGCCATACATTCATATGAAATCCTGCAGTGACTGCATTCATGTATCATAATATAAATAGTAAAATATGCTTCTTCTAGGAGCAAATACATAATAATAACTTAATAGATAGATACCTAAATTATGTCTTTCAGATATTCATTTTTCTTCTTCATCACACAAAAGACCAGTTTATGAACATAAAGGCCAAGCAGTGACTGGCATCTTCATCGTTGAGAACTTTCCATGCAACCACCTGCTCATATGACACCGGCCTGCCCATGCTCGATACACATATTCCTGCTGGTAGATATGCAAATCCCTGTGATCACATGCATAACGCATTAGATAGCTCCAAAACAGTATCTTAAATTATATCCCCAGTTAATATTTACTTAGACGAATGTAAAAATTACCTGCTGCATGATCTTAGCAAACTCTGAGCAGAGAACTTTTCTCCCAGCTTCATCAAGAATCTTATCGAGCATTATGTCCTGAAGGGCCACAAGGGTAGTTTCGAGCATGTCAAGCCCAGCCTGGTTTGCAAAGGTAAAAACAGGAGATGCCTGCAATATATAGTTGCCAATTATGTTTAGTTCAATAGGATATAGCACGACCAGAACTTCACAAAGCTCCATTTGAGTAATCAAGAAAAGAGTAACAGAAAAGGTTTTTGCATATGATAAGTGACAATTAATTTGAGGTGCTCCGATCAACAGCTAGTTGAAGAAATTACATTTGTTTTCAAGGAGCAGCACATTATTGCATCTGAGTGGTGCCAAAGTTGCTTCAACAAAGCATCACCAGCTTGGGTGTCGACTCGAAGAAACTCTCCCCCAGTGTGAATCCTGAAACAGGCAACACTATCATCAACATGATGGAAAATTGTTACGAGAAAGTGGATACTTAGGTCATTTATACATAAGTACAATATTTTGGTGCACTATCCAAGTAAGATATTATTACAAGTCCTTCATATACTTCACCGATGCAATGCATCATTATTACCGACCTTAGAGAATTTATGTTGCCAAGGTCCATAACAAATGTGCGTTATGAAATACATCCAAACAACAAATCCCTGCAATGCAACTTTTCTATTGGCTCACTATAACAAGATTAAAGAGATTGGAGTCTAACCTGTAACTTCGGCATATCCATCGAGCCAAGGTAAGAGCCTCAGGAGAACCAGGAAGTGGTTTTGGCCCTACATGCGAGCTGAGCCTGGAGGGTGCAATGGCCATGGCAACCCTCTGGACAGATCCCACAACGCTACGGACATACTGGCGGGCCATAGCAGCCACGTTGTCTCGCAGGTGATTCTCAAAAGTGAATTGAAATGCAATTGTCAGGACCGACCTAGAGGTGTAATTGTTAAGTTCAGCTTCACCAGCAGGACGGTTACCACCAGATCCAATCTCAAGTGCAGAGGCCAGATCCAAGGTTCGAGTTGCGGCAGGTCCATCCTGCAAATACAAGGAAACATAAACAATTATAAGAAAACAGGTATATACAGAAGGAACAAAAATAATTTGCATGACTACCTATAAGCAAAACAACTGTTTTTCCAAAGTTAGCAAAACTACAGCATGTTAAGAGATATTACCGTAGCTGTTTTAGAATCTAATGGTATGACACGGAAACCAGATGGTAACAAAGGAGCATCATCAGCAAAAGATTCATCAATAGGTGCAAAGACAAGCTGAGCACAGCCACTAACTGCATTTTCATCAACCCCGCTGCAAAGCTGCAAAATAAAATTCCAGAAATTACTAGTCAGAAAAATCCTAATAAATAGTACTGGCTCCATCATTCAGATTAAATTCGCGAACCCACTTGGCCAATTCCATATATGACAAAATAGTAAACTAACCTGTAACAAGTACATATCCCTTGCCAAAGCTACATCTTCAGGTGAGAACGCATGACCCTCTAGCCGAACAACCTCCAAGAACTGTTAGAGAAAAGAAAATCTTACATAAAAAATTAACTCTGAAGGACATGATAAGAAAGGATAATGAAATAAAATTTTAAGCAGATAAACGGCTTTCAGTTTTCACCTCCTCATGCTCCACAGTATGGGCCAGAGGTAAAATGACCTGGCTACTAGGGAAGCCACCAGGCCTAGCACAAGGAACTGCATAAGGACTAGCTTTAAGGCATGCAGCAGAGTATGCATCAACACCATAGTCAGCCCACTCTGAGCGGTGCTCTCTCAGAAAACGAACAAGCAAAGCGGGGGGAACGTTCTGCATAACCACATAAGAAATTATTTAAGTGGTACACCACAATCGAATTTGGATGAATCAAACATACATGTATGAAGATTTAATGTCAGCTAATCCAGTGGAACATAAGCGCAAAATTATGAACGCATAAGAGTGAAATGCAAGCAGATATAACCACAGATTTAGATCCTACAAAACCAATTTGGACAAGTGAGTACCTGCAGCAGCATTGATGCCTTGGCACAAAGCACACCTCCAAAAGTTGGAAACACAGATGAATTATATTGAGATGCAAGAAATTTGTTTGGAGATGAGTTGATGGCAATAGTCACATCCTCCACACCGTCACTATTCATAAGCGACCATCCATCATCAGAAAATCCATTAATTGCATCATTGAAACCCCTGAGATCCATTACAATAATCTATTAGTCAAGGAGAAACAGACTGAAGAAAGGACAGCAATCATAGACCATTGCTGGTTCTAAAATTTAGAACACATAACAGGCCCATAAGGAAAGCAGGTAAAAAAATACTTTTCGACATTCCAATTGGTCCACAGTGATTTGGAATGTATCAGACCAAGATGGCCAGGCTCCCCACGCTTTCCCGACGCCAGGTTGAGAGAGCTTACCTGCAAAGTCTCTGGCTAAAAGTTCTTAGCACGGCTGGCTGGCGACCTCCACCATACTGAATTTCCCCACTAGTCTCTTGAGCAATCTGTCGGATGTGACGCAAGGCCTGCATAGTAATATTTCAAAGATAAAATGTGGACAAACAAAAAAGGCCATATTAAGAAAATTTGATAGTGCTCTTGCAGCAGTTCTTACAGCCATGGTCATTTTCTGAGCAAGGATTTTAGATGATTCATAAAGTGGCCTGAGAACTTCAGGAACGCTCCAAGCCTAACACACAACCATGTATGTAAAAATTATTAAGAATTTAGAGGAATCAAATGTGTGTACAGACGAACTAACGCAATTTTAAGAGATAACTTTTTAATAAGAATCTCATGAAACGATATACATACATCCAAATCAACATGATCGACAATGTGAATAATGGAGCCACCACCCTCACAAGGACGGATTACAAAGCCACTTGGAAGCACTTCGCCTCTAACAAAACTTGATGCAGGAGGCCCTGTAGGGCCACCTGTGGAAGATGTCAATGACCTTTCACATACCTGCAAATAACATTTTAAGAGTCAATATACTAAAAGCATATGCAGTTCAAAGCATTTAAACAGAGGTGAACAACAGTCAAGAATTATTTGACATGCAAAGGTTTGAAATCCAGAAATTATCACTCCACTCAGATTAAATGCCATGTGCAAACATAGCAGTAGAATTTTGCAACTATCTCAACAACAGAGAAAGTTAGCTAACTCAACCAGCGGAGAATTGTTAAATGCATGAATATAAAGCTTCTCTCATAAGATTATTCAACCAATTTCAGGATATGGGCTCGCTTTTATTATTCTCAAGCTTCAACCAAAACTAGCTACTAGCAGCTGCACCTAAATGAATAAAATCAGAAATTTAACAAAGTATAAGTGGCATTACTGTGTTCATTTGACAGGTTTCCTCAATCTTGATGTTCATCTTCATGAACAAGAGAAAAAGGAAGCAAACAACACCAAAGGGCTTACCACAAGACTGCCATCTTCCAAACTTGTTGTATATCTCAGTGTCCAAAAGTCTCGTGCTGCTGCCAATGTAGTTGGTGCATAAGTCTGTAATGAGAACAAAAATAAATAAACAGGCACCATAAATAAATTTTAAAAACTTAAGTAATCAAAGAACCGAAATGGTAGAAGTCTACTTCAGTTTGAGCTGCAATGAAGGTTCTATCAGCAATTACAACAAACCTGCATGTATATGAGCTCTATCGTCCCTCCATTTCCTGTAGGAATTACACTCAACACTTCAAGGCATCGGCAATCACGAAACCAAGATGTACGATCTTTAAGTATTTCAGCGACCTGAAAAAAATATCCATAAATAACAATGCACCTAAAACAGACCACTATATAATTTTACTTTGGAGAAGATAAAAAGAAAATGTAGGAAGACAGGCACCTTCGTGGGATCTAAACTCACGAGACCGCAAGCTCGTGCTGCTACTCCACTACAATTGCGGGAAACAGCTACGATTCCAATAGAATCCGGACCAGGCTACGAAAAAATCAACAGAAAAGTTAGTTCATGCAAAAGACACAAACAAGCACACCAATTAATACATGTAAAATTTCTAGGACAGATAACAACGTTAAACTTAAGGAAATTATAAGAGATTGTACCTTCATCCCAATCATCTGGACCCAGTCGACAGCAGTTCCAGTAGCCTTGGGAAGGAACTCTGCCAGGGTCTCCTGTGCTATTGCAAGAAGACTAACACAAGTGGAAAGACATTGACAAGTTATTAAGCCATATCAGAAATTTAAATATCTTGATTGAATTGGTCTAAAGAGGCATTGATTACTCACCCAGCTGGGTTATTAGCATCCCTCTCAGGATGCTGAGGTGTTGGGTTTTGCTGTTGTTGGTGCTGACCACTCATGACCACAGACTCACAGCTATTGTCTGTGGTCGCAGATGCCTATTTTGAATCCACAAAAATTAAATAAACTTTAAGTATCTGCGCTAAGTTATAAACTCCAGCCCTTAAGAGTAACAACTTGGTATAATATGCAATATGGTGTAACCAGTATAAGATGAAAATAAGGTTAATGTGATAGTCAATGCATTTGCATCTATAACAGGGAACACACAAAGTACATTTAAGTTCACAGGCAAAAGAGGGTTGGGAAACCATCAATAGATAAGGCGAAGAAATGAATTCAAATAATATATTAAAAACACATGTTAGAGCATTATGAAATGCTCCCAGATGTAGAATGGCAAAAGGCTGTGGCTTAATAATTCCTGTAAACTAATGAATAAGACAGGTAGTATTCCAAAGCACCAGGGGTAATTGGCAAAAGTGGAGAAGCTTACACTATGTAGTTGTTGTCGCATGTAGCCATTCTCGTAAACCAAATGCGACACCTGCTTCTGCAGACGGTCATTCTCTTCCATCAACAGCTTGTTCATGGCACTCAGCTTTCTGTTCACTGTCTGAAGTCGGGAAGCTTCCTTTCTCTGCTTTTCTCGACATCTATTTTAAAAAAAAATAAACAGGAAAATGATTTCAAGGAGCTGAACAAAACTGCATTCATATCTTCTTGACAAAACACTACACAAAACTTATAACAAGTTTTGATGAAGCTTTGCAAGTAATTTTTGCTTAGACAAATAGTTGATACAATTCAGACCTAATAAAGGGCACCAAAACCATTCAAGCACACATAGGTTTTTAAAACTTTTCAACTATCAAAGTCAAATAAGAAGTACACAATAGAGTTAAACACATTATAAATACTGGTTACATGCTTGCTGACAGAAGGTCAGGAGAAAATTCTCTCTGCAAATGAAGCTAACACATAAGAAGGTAGCTAAGAATGATGACTCAACCAGTTTACCAGAAAGATGAAATTTATTGTCAAGGATTAATTTCATAATTCCTTTCTGCAGGCTCAAAAATGAGGAAAAAAAAGAAAGAAAAAAAGAAAGGACTGAGAATAAAAATGAAACTGTCATTGTCCCTCATTTAATTTCACAACAACCCCCAATCACAAAGTATTTTTTTTTATTTATAACCCATTAAAAAGGCTATAAAATGGAAGTTTCAGTTTTCATCTTCTGCAAAATGGAAAAAACTAGTAAGGTAAAGCAAGCATTGAAGTGAAAAGCCAATTGACTAGCTGTCATTATCTTCATTTAATTCCGAGAATACTCAGAATGGAAAAAAGCTTGAGCAATTAAGACTCTGTTCAAAGCAAGAAAAGAAATCTAATTTATGAACTAGATATTCCCCCAAGTTCTATAATATAAAAATTAAAATAAATGGGAAGACAAGACAGAAAACAGCATATAACAACATAAACAATAGAAAAAAAAAAATCAGAGAACAACAAAAAACCAAAACTTTCATCAGACATGCAAAAACCAATTTCCTTTTCAAACAAAACCTTAAAGCTTAAAAACTAAGCAAAGAAGATGAAATAACCCCCATGCCATTTTACATAGAAGCATCTCAAGCTTCAAAACTCAAAACAAAGAGTTAAAAAAACAGAAACTTCCTCTCCTCTGAATGAGACATTAAGTAGAACCCATTTCAGATCACATGCATATTAAGAAAATCCAATACCACTTTCATTTTTCCAAAGTTCACAGTTTACGTTCAAAAGTTTACTTGAAAACAAGAAACTTTTTTCTTGAAAAAAATAAAAGAAGACTTTATATTTATTATAAAAAAAAAAAAAAAAAAACCAGAGCTAACCCAAATTCTAAAGCTAACACTTAGAATGAAAACAATAAAGAAAAGAAACTTCTGAAAATACCCATTTTGATACCTCATTTTCCCAGACAAAAAAAACACAAACAAAATGTTGATCAAAACGAAACAAGAAAAAGCTTACATCACATCAGAAGAAGAAAAAAGAAAACACTTACAAACCCACATTCAGTAAAAAAAAAAAGAAACTCAAACTTAGTCTTTCAAAACAAAACAAAACAAAAAAAAAAAAAGAAAGATTTTACAAGTGTTTCAGTCACCTGCGGTTTTGAAACCAGACTTTGATCTGCTTAGGTTCAATATTAGAAAGAATAGGACACTCCCTAATGAGCTGTTGCCTTCTCAAAGAGCTAGGCTTGGGGCATTCCGAGTACACCCTCTCTAAAGCCTCAACTTGCTCAGGTGTATATCTCACATATTTACTTGAATCCATCTGTTGCTGATGCTTGTTTGCCAACAACTCCTTGCTATTATTACTGTTGTTGTGGTGATGGTGATGGTGCATAGAAAGTGCCATACACAAAACTCAAAAAAGGAACAATTTTTCACTCAAAAGAGGCAAAAACAAGACAAACCCAGATGGAGTTTTGTGCCTAAAACAGAAAAAGATGGTGGTTTGGTAAGGGCTCTTGATCTTCTTCAGTGTTTGAGTTTGTGGTGTTGTTCAAAGGCAGGCTCTCTCCCCCAAGAGAGCCCACTCTCTCCTTCATCAGTTGGGATGGTTTTTTTTCTGGAGGTTTTGAGTTTTGTTTTTGTTTTCCCTCTCTCTCTCTCTAAACAAAAACTGAACTGTAAGTGGTGAAATGAGAGGAAAAGTTGAAGAAAGAAGAGCTTAACGAAGGGTCCTCTGGTCTTTATTTTAGACGCCAATCTCGAGATTCTTTTACTTCTTAGGAAGAAACCAAAATTAATAAATTTATTTATTTATTAAAAAGAAAAAAACAAATACAATTAAAACAACCCACAGAAATTCACAGATTGAGAGAGAGAATAATTGAAAATTGTTCGAGGTAGAATATTACATAGATTACCCTTGAGATTTCTTAATTTATCACTTAAATTCTCAATAAATAAACCTCAAAAGTTTGAATATTGTATATAGATACCTCCTTTGCTCTAACTCTACCGTTTGTGTTGGATAGGTGAAATAGTAACTTCAGTTTTATTAAAAAAAAGTTGAAGTAAAATGGTAAATTTGGTTTTATTAAGAAGTTTTTGAAGTAAAATGATAACTTTTAACCCCAATGGATTGGTTTGACAGTCAATGAGGTTTACTTCCTTCCTTAAGTTCTTAAGTTCAAACCTTGGAGTCACATATTACAAAATCATTATGATTTATCTGGACCTTTGGGTTTATAAGGTGTTTTAAGAAAGTAGTAGATCTTAAAGTTTAAAAGTTTTATCATAAATACCTTTTTGCCCTAATTTTGATACATAATTATGTTAGGTTACAAAACACTTTCTTATAAAATCAAAGTTACCATTTTACCTCAACATTGTCTTAGGATTTTACTTGTCTAACACAGAATAGTAATATAATAGAGTCTAGGCAAATGGGTATCAGTAATACGGTTTTCAAAAATTAAGGGTCTATTTAATGAAAAAATGTGAAAATTATGATCAAAGTAAATTCAAAACCTTAAGGGTGGTTCATAATATTCTATGATTGATTATGTGGATGTGACAGACAGTAGAAATATACACCGTTATAACTTTTCTTTTTACCTATATGAAAAACATTATGTTGTTGATTTATTTTAAGTCAAAATACTAAGAAAAAAAAAGTCAAATTTGTAACATGAAACATTAACAATAATAATATAAAATGTTTAAAATATTCGAGTTTAGACTTAATATTAAACAAGTAACACATGAATAATGAGATAAAACACTACATTTCATTTCCTTATTCTTTTATATTTTGTCAAATCTTAACCTAAAATTTAGCATTATATTAATATAATAATAAAAAATGGGAGCCAAAGAAAAGAATAAATGAGGGACTGAATTTCATCTGCACGGCAGAGACTTTTTTTTTTTTTTTAATTTTAGACTTAACTCTTTATTTCTCTTAATTTTTTTATTTAAAAAAAAAAAAGAATTACTGGGCTTGCTGCCACCGTGTCTTTTAGCAATTTTGACATGGCATGCATGTGTAAATGGGTGATGATGCAGCATGCATGTATGTATGTATGTATGTTATTAATGTAATGATGCATGTGGGGGCATAGGAATGGGCATGCATGCGACGCGTGAAGAAAGAAAGAGAAAGTGGACGAATCCTGCTTTGCTGTTATTTATATCTCAACTTTACGACAATTCTATTGTAGATTACTCTACCACTTCAACTTGGGTAGGTCGGTAGGTGCGTTAACCCGGATCCGAAATATTCCGGCTTTTTGTCTTGGACTGTGGGCTTGGACCGACGATATTGGGCCTATTCTGGTCCATAATGGCTTTGTAAATACTTTTATTAAAAAATAAATAAATAAATGTGAAAATCAATATTTGCTTAAAAAAAAGCAAGGTCTTTTAGACTGTTTTATGGGTATGTTCAATTTTATTAGACTAGAAAATTATCTATAAACATATTTGAAAGCCTTTAGTTCACAAAGTATTTTATATGTTCTTCAGATATTTAAAAGATATTGTTTTAAATGAATGAGAAAAAAAAAATTAATTTTAATTTATGTTATTCTGATAACTTTTATTTTTTATTTTTAAAGAAAAAAAAAACAATTGGGATTTGCAGGTTTTAAATATTAAAAATTGAAAAAATTGATGATTCATCCTAACATACAAATTGTTTTAAGGGGAATTAATGATTTATAAGGATTAGAGGATTAGATGACTCACAACACAAGTAACATCATCAATTGTATTTGTACGAATATGTACAACAAACACTACAACTCCAAGAAAACATGATTAAGATTATAATCCAATTATGCCATTCCTTCAAATTATATAATTAACTACTCTACTATATAGTTAAATAATGATAATTTTTATTCATCTTCATAATGTTTTAGAAATTGTATGATGTTTATAAAACAATAATAATAAAGTTAAATGAAGAAATATGAGAAGATGAAGATGAGGAGAATTAATCAACGATTACAAATTAATTCATGTTTCAAGTATATGTAAGTGGGGTTTGCTGACTTTTATTGATTAATGATAATAATAAAAAAAAAAAATATGAAGTGATAGGATTAGATTAGTGGGGGAGATTAAGATTAGTCTACTTTAATTGCAATTAATGGATTCATACACTATTCTATACCCATCACCTTTCACAAGTTTTCATGCCAATTAATATCACTTAACAATTAATTATTTTATATATATATATATTAAAAACTAAAGAAAAATGTTATCCTTACAAAGACCTATACATAGAAGGTTACAAAGTGACGTGAGTAAGAAGAAAAAAACAAAGAAATAAGGGAAAAAGAGGGAGAGAGAGAGGGAGAGAGAGAGAGAGAGAGAGAAATCATGAAGATCAAGAGTAGCAATTGCCTTTGTATGCTCCCTTTATATTTGTCTTTGTAAGACTAGCACTGCTCAAAACTAAAATAGTGAACAATAAAAAATAAATAAGTATTTAGATTGGTTTTATATTTATTACATGGGTAAACGACATGTTCCCACCTGAGTTTTAGCGAAATACTAGTTAATACCCATTGTGCATTTATTCTAGATTATCACCCTTAAACTAATGATGTTAGCAATTTTTAAGATGCAGAGGATGCTATTATGATATTGCCCTTGAGAAATAAATTAATAAATTATTTTTTGAACCCCAAGTTATTAGAATTAGAAAATAACCATTTTACTTTCAGATCTATTTCAAAAACACCTTATTCTTCAACCTTCCTCTTCTGTAATCTTATTATAATAATTTATACAATATACTATAGATGTCGTTGTAACATAAACAGTCATAAAATTAAAATAAAAATAAAATTCTTATAATTATTATTAAAAGAAAATTTAACATGTAACTCTTATTAATATAATAATTTTATACAATATCTATAGGTAATGTCGTTGTAACATAAACAGTCATAATAATTAAATAAAAATAAAATCTTATATATAATTTAAAGAAAATTTAACATGTAAGCCAAACGAAAGGACTGATCAAACAAGTTTAATAATGAGTGGTCAAAACAGTCTTATAACAATTTAACAGTATAATTATATTTTTACAAAGAGTAAACTGTTATTTCCCACCCAAGGTTTGACCAATACCAAATTGTATGCTGTTTTATTTATTTAGATTCTCCTCTAAAATATACTGTTTACAATTTTTAGGTTACGAGAATACAATTATCATATACCTTTAACAAAAAATTAATAAATTATTTTTAACCCTAAATTACTAAAATTATATTAACATCTTATTTTCAAATTACTTTAATACACCCTCAGTGACTACGCACCCTCTTGGTTTTGCTGGGATCTAAGCTTTTTCGATAGCGTTGAACCCCCTAGTCATCTCCATCACTTCCCCATCGTTTGTCATCCCAAACCCCTCGGTTCCCAACATCATTGGCCCTTCGACGCCGACGTCATAAGGCTTAGGGTTTCGCTATTTTTCGTTGGATTCCAATCAATTTCGGCGATGAAAATCCAATTGGCATCACTATTGCAACCAACATCCAACTTTACTAACCCTTATGTCCCAACAACCGTTTAGTCATGTTCGTCGGTCGAGATTGACAAAAAACAGTCACCATGTAGCGGCTGTCGTGGCTAGCAACGGCGAGGATAAAGGGTTGTAAAGGGTAAGGTTGTAGATGAGGGATGAGGGTTTCGAATGGTGGTAACAAAAGTGTTAGGTGGAAGAATCGCCAAAAAGGGCACAAAAAAGTCGAGGCCAACAGCTATCATGCGTCAGGCATCGTGGAGCGACGATCTGCTAATTTGTGTCTCCTTCTAAAATGACTAATTCACTCTTAACGTTATGTCCAATAATTTTCGTCACTTTAAGGGTGAGAATTAAAATAAATTAAACCAAGGGTACCAACTTAAATTTCATTAAACATCGGGTGGGAAATGTTGTTTACTCTAAAAAAAAAACACACACAACAAAATACAAAACAAAGATATAAAATTAATATATAAAATAGATTTAGATATAAGTCTCTTTATAATAAATAAGCATTCGAATCGGACGGCTAGCAAATAGGGTTTAGTATAACAATCGGAAACGGGTCACAGAAAAACTTTTCTCATCTGAGCGTAGTGTGGTCCAGGATTGTAGTTCGACATGCCACGTGGTACGGTTGATGCCGTGGATTAACTGACGAGGGATGCTGTCACCTGCGGTCACAATTGTCTGAGAAATCGTCAGGTGACGTGTCCCCTGATGTTTTAACTCGTGAGAGTTCCAGGATGTTATCTCATTCTCCCCTTTGCTTTCTATTTTGGAGGAATTTTCAGACGGATTTTAGTTTTTAATTTTCATGCCTTATGTACTAAATTAAATTTGACTGACTCCTTTTCACATCACAATCAAAATTAAACTAACACTTATTATAAATAGATCAATTACAAACTATAATATTGAAAAAAACTTATAAAATAAATTATAAAATAGTATTACTATATTATTAACACTCAATTATTCATTTATACATTAAAGGAACAACGAAATATACCACTTAAGATGAAAATTGAAATTATATTTAAAAATATAGCACTATTATATAGATTATTTATCTGAGTTTATTTTATTCACCAATTTCCTCTTGGCATACCCAAGATTTAAAAATAATAAAAATCTTACAATTATTGAAACTCTTATAAAAAGAATTTTTTTTGATACTGTAAAATCTCTCTATAATCA